GGCTGCCGCAGGCCATCATCATCGGCGTCAAGAAGGGCGGCACGCGGGCGCTGCTCGAGTTCCTGCGCGTGCACCCCGACGTGCGCGCCGTGGGCGCCGAGCCGCACTTCTTCGACCGCAACTACGAGCGCGGACTCGCCTGGTACAGGTAGGGCACGGGGGACGCGAGCGCGCGGGGACGCGGCCGTGGCCGGGCCGGCACCGCCACCCGCTGGTGGCCCCGGGCCCCGCGCCGCGAAGCCCCGGCCCTGCTTCTCCCCGGTGCGCTTCCCTCATCCCTGCTCCATTCCTGCCCCATCCTGCTCCAAATCCCATACCTGCTGCCTGGGGCAGAGCGCAGGTGCCAATGGGGGCATCGGGGGAACAGGGACAGCCACGTTCCCACGAGGATGTCGGGGGGACCCCCTTAAGCCCTCCCGGCTCTGCTGGGGGGTCTCCCCCAGCCCTGGCTGCCTCCCTGTGCAAAGAGACTCTGCTTGACTCGGGGGACCCCAAGGGCCTCCGGCGCCTCTCCTGAATCACAGCCTGGAGAGGGATAGTTAAAAGCGACTTGTCTGTGCTCAGTGCGGGGGAGAAAATGTATTTTGCATGCAAATATTTCAGCAGCTCAGTGATGACTACCAAAAAAAAAAAAAAAAAAAAAAAAAAGGACCATTGCTCATGCCATCCCCTTGTTTAAAAATAAATAAATAAAACCTGTTTCCTTAACCCAAATAAGAGGGATCTCCTTGAAAATAAGAAGGGAATTGGCAAAGCTAGTGGGTAGAGCTCCTGTTCATTTTGTTTAGGTGGTTTCCCTGTGCCTTTTAAAGTTAATAAAGGAGAGATTTCTGGTGGGTCCCTATAGAAGGGGCAGGTTGGAGTGAGGTAGAAACGGCTCTCTTGTGAAGCACCCTGGTGTCTGTGGTTTTCATGAATGAAGGAGCGAAAAGAACAGGCTTTCGAGTCCCCCCAGTGCTTGTTTTCCATTTGTGCTGAGCCCAGGCGCTAGCTGAGAGGAGGAGGGTTTGCAGGGACGGTGTTGAAATGTGCAGCGGGATCACAGCCACGGTCCCGTGTTTATGGAAAGTCTGCGCGCGAGTGAGCGATGAGCTCCCCCGAACATCGCCTGGGGCCGGGGCCGCGCGTGGGCTCCCCGGGAAGGAAGATTTCCTTCTGTGTGGGCTGGAGCTGTTGCGGGAGGGTATTTTTAGTGCGCGCTCATCCCGCTTCCCCGTGTCAACCTTGTGTCGGAAAGGAAACATTGCAAGCAGACCTGGAAACCTCAACAACTCAAACTGGAGCTTGGCTGTGGGAAATAAATGGGATTTGGGGGGCGGACGGGCAGGGACAAACATGCAGAAAAGCTGCTGTTTAAGAGGATGCCCCTGAGTGCCCAGAGTGCAGATGGCATCGGGGCATCCCTGCTCTGGGACACTGTGCCCAAGGAGGGCACGAGCCCTCAGCGGAGGAGCAGCCGTGGGCGTTCAGTGCATAGCCCGGCCTGCAGCGTAGGGGATTTCATCTTCCCGAGGTTCGGTCTTCGTCCAGCAGCTCTTGCCTGGTGGAGGTGCTGCCCCGCAGGCCGTTCGGGCAGTCGCCGTGTGTTACATTTGGTGCACGAGCGTTTCCGTTAATTGGTGCCGTTTGTATTTAATGTACTGAATTTCACCTTTTTTTTTTTCCCTCCTTTTTTTTTCTTTCTTAGCCCTGTGGAGGCTGCAGCACAGTGAATTCTTTGTATGGGGCTATTCCTGCGAGACCTAATCTTGCAGGACGGGCTCGTATGAGTAATCGCTGTTAATACACGTGGCCCGTAGTGGTGCAAGAGCCGCAGCAGCAGCAGCCCCTGCTTCGGCAGTTACCAGCCTGCTGCAAAACATCCTTTAAAAATATCTGTGTCTGTCCAGGGCTTGGCTGTGATCTTTGCTACAGACTCAACATGGGGGAATTGGGCAGATGTTTGCCAGCGGTGCTAGTTTGTTGTCTTGAGAATTGGTCTTAAGTTTCATTTGCCCCCCCCCCGCTTTATTTATTTATTTTTTCCCCTCGTTTCCAAGCAGTCAGTCTAAACAGCATCACTACAAGGTTTAGATGCTCTGAAATGCTTTCAGTGCCCATGGGGAACCGTTCCGGCTAGCGAGTGCCCTGCCTGGGCTGGGCAGAGGGTCCCGGGGAGCGCGGAGCCGGGCTGCGGCAGGGAGGCTGCCGGCATCCATGGGGGACCTGGCTAGATTGGACCACGCTTCCTCCTGGAAACAAAAGAGCAGCTTTGGCAGCAGCTGCTGTTGCCCAGACCTTCAGGAATCGGAGGATAAAGGGTGGCCGGGCAGCAGTGATGCTATATCCGTGGATGATGGTCGCTGTCACCCAGGCTGGGCACAGGCAGGGGGTGTCACCTACCAGGGTGCCCGGTGATGCACGAGCCTGCTGAGAAACGCTGCCCGTTAAGCAAGTGCAGGAACCGCTCTCGCGTCGTTGCTGCGTAAAAGGCAGCCGTCCCACGGAGGGGCTTGTTTCAAAAAAAGCGATCCGAGGGATTTAATTTGGGAAGTGCGACACCTCCGTGCGTGTGGGCTGAATACCGGTGTGCACCAAACAGCTTTTGTGCACCGATCTGCTGCGCTTGTTGCAAGTGCCCTGTGTGGAGGAGCTGAAAGGAGGGAGGGTGAGATACCACAGGGCTCTCCTGGACTCTCCAGCACAGACACCTCTGCTCCAGCCCCATCCGAGCCCCTTAATGTGGATGCACTAAGAGCTGAACTCCTGTACACAGCCTGGGGGGCTATGCCAAGAACAGGGGCTCATCCAACCAGCAGCAAAATGCATGGGATAGCAAATAAATAAATAAACCCCTGCAAATAAATAAACAAACCCCTTGTGGGTGACGTCGCGAGCGTCACCAGCTCCCTCCAATGCTTCATTGGGCTGCCACCGGTCGGGATGTCGCTGTGCTGTCAGTCAACCCAGCAACGCTCATTTCGTACGTTTTTGATCTCTGAGCCAATGACAACTGTGCGTGAGCCAAGCTAATGCCACCAGACTGCACCCTGCATGGGGTAAGGTGGAAGCTGCCTCAAGTCTACTCGAGCACGTGGGATGTTGAAGCACCGGCACTCCTATATCTGGGGAGTTCCTGCTCCTGCCAATGTCCCTGGGGGATTTTTCTCTAAAGCACTTTTTTAGCTAAGCAACCAGTGATGTTTGAGTCAAAGGGAACTGAAGATGTTTTGGTTGCTGAAGAGGATTGCGGAAGAGGAGGAGGAGATGCCCCAGCAACTGCACACATCTGCAGCTGACCTTCTCCTACACCATCCCAGCTCCTGAGCCTCAAATCACAGTGAAATCTGAGTCCTGGGCATGGAATAGTCTGGCCGCTCCGTGGAGCTGCATGGCCTGGAGGTCTGCACAGCCTCCTGGCCACCACAATTCAGCAGTGCTGCTGTCTGGGTGGTGTCTTTTACCATGGAGGCGAGCAGACAAATGGTGGTATGAGGGACCAGAGTGTGCGGATGAC